TTTTTTTTCAATTTGCAGTGGCAGCAAATACGAGGATAATTTGGAGCAGGTGAGAGGAGGGAGTCTAAGCACGGCAATTCTCAACCGCAATAATCCTAAATTACCTCAGCAGACCGCTACTAGCGCTAGTGTGCGTAACATTATCTTTTTAAACTAATTATCAGAAACAAATTAGCCGTCATTAACTTTTCTAAACAAATATACATCTTTCTGTTCCTTTATGTAAAATATATACTTAAACATAATCATTCAATTTCCATTTACTTTTAATTTCAAAGACTGCACATGCAATATTCCATGTAAATTGGTATTGTCAATATTCTTCATATTTTACATACATGTGTACTAAAAGGGCTCAAGGTATAGGGCTATAAGGTAATTTTTTAAATGAAAAAATGCTTGCTTGTTAAGTATTCGTTATTGCAATTGCACATCGCTTCTAAAGGCATGAAAATTGTTAATTTTGATTATGTTACTGTCGAATTTTGTTTGCACCAACATCATCATATATTATTTGTATTTCTTTGTCGTTTTGTTCAATGTTTGTGTTTGTTTTTCCATACTTCTCCAGCCAAACTTGGAATCTGAATTCAATGAAATGGCAGCATGGTTGGATCGCACAGTAAGTACTTGTGTAGGTTCTAATTAATTTGGATATTATAAATATCCAAATGATCCAATTTTCAGCGATAAATTTGAAATTGCAAATCCTCTTTTTCCCACTTAGATTTATAAGAATGTCATTGTTGAATCGCGCTTATTTGCATTGCAGCCTGGAGGACAAGGCGATCAGGAATCTTTGACTTCGTCGGAATTTGAGCGCTTCTTAGCAGAACGTGCAGCCGCGGCTGAAGCTTTACCAACACTTTCTACAACTGCCAGCTCAAACTCATCGACTACGGGCAACCAAAACATTCAGCGTCAAATTAACAAGGATCAAGACAAATCTTTATTCGCTCTTTAAGTACCTTGAAACTCTCTGTTGTAAAATGAGAGACTAAACTTATGGGACTGTTGTGCTAATTAACACGGCACGTATTTACAATTTTTCCTTTTGACGAAATCACACTCCCAACATCATCGACGATTTAAACTGTGGATTTGTATTTTTAACATAAGGAGCTGAAGTAAAATAGAGATAGAAAAACGCGAGGGAAAAAGTGTACATGAAAAATGCTTTGTGCTTGTACGTACTTAATAAGGTAACTATGCAATCATGTTTGAGAATATTGTTCAGTTATATATAAAATTGTGGTCGTATACATAATGTAGATAAGTTGCTTTCAAATTGTTCCGTGAACCATTTCAACTATTACGTAATAATGTGTAAGAGTTAATTTACATTTGTACATAAGCGACAATGCGTCCATGGAAATATTCAGATTATATCGTAATAGGTCTTGCTATCATAAATTTTGCCTCAAAGTCGCAAATCAAGCGCGAGATCAAATTTTCGGATTAATGCATGGATATTTCGACGAATATCCAATCGAGTAATTGATCTTTACATCTACATATTGATAAACTATTTTTCTATGTTGAAGTAAATTTTGTCTCTCAGCTATTTAACATTCTATATACAGAGATACATTCTATAAATTTATTATTATTTTTACTATTGTATAATTCCTACTATTGTAGAAACTTTGTAGAGACTTTACTATTGTAGATTGATATAGAATTAGTAGCATGAATTTATATTAATTATTACTGCTATCGCGCGTTACTGCAGTTATGTGTATTAATATTATAAATAATTAATATATTCTGAAATTATTATAAATGCAGCAGTAATGTTTAATGGATTAGGTGTAAAATTCTTTGATATCCTATGTTGACTATGTTACTATATTTAATTTCCAGAAAGAATAATAATTTGTTTCTTTCTCTTAGCTTTATCCCACAGGATGTTTTATCGATTATCCTAACTTTAATTGTTCTATTTTATATTCGTTTATGTTTTATACTATATTTGTGCATATTTAGTACGTATAGACTGCTAAATAAAGTACACCTGCGGTGCCTGTATTAACTGAATTCGCAGTTAATAAGGATAATCTGTACTCTTGACTTACGCAGAGAATAAAACTATGCATCATACACACGTGCTACCAAATTTCTTTCAAGTTTCCATATTTGTCTGTCGCTCGTTGCATTTTCAAATATGAAAGTAGTTATTATTTGCGTTATCTTGAAAATACACTTACTTTTTTAACGTTATACGTTTAATTTTATCGAAGCTTAGTGAAGATATAAAAATTGAAAGTTACAAATAGCAAGTATTATAATATTTACAGGAAATTTGTAAAAATTGAAAGAATGTTTCCTATGCTGTAAGACGCATGATCTTTATTAAAAAAAAAAAAAAGAGAAAAATAATTTTCTTTGCATGAATCTTATAATAATAGTTAGAATGGATTTTTTCAGGTACATTAGAGAACAGTGGTAGGAGCTCTAACGCATTGATAAATATCAATATATCTTAATATTAGAATTTGGACGTATCCAAACTCCAAACTCTAATCTATCCCTTCCTTTCAGTCCCTTTCCTCTCCCACTTTTTTCGTTGTGTCATATAGTGTACTTTTTGATTGAGCTTGTTGCACCGTTTATCCTGTCTTTCTTTTTCTCTAATGTGAAGAGAGAAAAAGAGGAAAAATAAATCGTGCAAAAAGAACAGATCTCGTTGGTGTTAGTAGCGCGGTTGATCGTCATTGGATCGCGTTGAGAAGCGATTTCGTAAGTTGCGATGGTGAGTGGTGGTAAGCCGGGAATATCGTCGAGCTTGAGCCCGCGTCTACTCGCTGTTCGTTCCTGGCTATCACTAGTTGCAATTGGCAACTATCGGCAACGATTCACACTCGAGAATCGAGAACACGCGGCAGGCGTGACGATTGTTCGCGAATGACCTGGCATTGCTTTCGCGAGAGGAGCTTTCCGCGCTTATTCGAGGACGAGGATCATGTATACCGTGTCAAAGGGACCTAGCAAGATTGTAGCGAAAACACGACGAGGTACTAAATTTGGATTTTTCTATAATCATAGTCCAGTGCCCTATGACCGTCGTCCATTAAGCAACGATCGTCAATAGTTGCGTGTGAGATAATTTTGGAGTCGAGCTTGGAATTTGTTATTCGAAATTATTCGAAATTGAATCTTCGCTTTTCACAGGGATAAGTCAGAACCTTGAAAGACTGGAAACTCTACGTGATCTGACGAGAAAGGCCGACGTCGAGGATGACCACGAGATCACCCGGTGAGAGAGAGAGAGAGAGAGCGAGAGCGAGAGCGCGCGGTGCTCTAACCCCCTTTCTCGATGCCACTTTTTCACATTACTCCTTCTCCTTCGCCGCTGTCGCCGTCGCTACCGTTTTCGACATTACGCAATTCATCATAATTCGCCCCGTAAAACCGTCAAAGCTATTAACATAACTCGTTTGTGTGATATTGATGAGTGTCATTGAGACCCCTAATGGAGCTTATCTAATGAAATTCAATGTAATGCAAATATCTATTGACCAATTTTGCTTTATACATTTCCTGTGACAAACGATCTTGTTCCTTTTAACATTTTACCACGTGTATAATTATTGTGTATTGCATAAGATTTGTATAATAACACGCGTGATGAAAAAGAAAGATAATATTTACTTCATTACTGCAAATATCTGCAATAAGGCTTTAATTCATATATTTCACGCTTGCAGTCACGTACCAAAACCAGTCTTCCATATGAATGGAAAATCCAAGTTTATCTCGCAGCGACATCAGATGCAAGAAGTTATCACACCACAGCATGAGGAACTTATTAAATTTATTTATGAATGTAGGTAGAAAAATATTCTACACATATGAAATTGAATGTAGAGTTAATTTTATATCGAGTATGAAAGGCTGAATGGAAAATTATGAATAAGTATGAAAGTATGAAAGAAGCTGAACTTTAGTCTGAAAAAAAGATGGAATATACATATATTGTATACTTATATATTTTTTTAATATTGAGCAAAATTTATTATTTTTGTTTGTTTATTGTTTTCAACAGCATGGAATCAAATTAATATGCGGCAAAGAAGCGAATGTTGCAATGGCACAGAATGTGCAGAACTTTGCA